TATTTTCCCTTATCTCTGCTATTATGTAGTATAATTTTCCAGGTAAGGAAACACCATAAGTCATGTTAATTCTCCAAGGTGGCGTATCTAACAACAATCTCCACTTCAAACTCAGAGCTGTTGCCTTAATATAATGATATGCTGCTTCCTACCTGCTCCTTTTCTGAGTCTCGCCCCCGACCATCTACCCCAAGTAGATCAAATCGGTCTAAATTTGTACTCCAAATACACCACGTATGTTCTCATTTCTTAAATTTTTCTTATTGCCTATGGTTTCCGCCTTCTTTCCTTTGACCCAATTTTTACTTGTCTTGAATGACCAACTCTGGTCGTGCCATCTCCTTGCCTCCTACCTAGAACATCTCTGCTAACGCCTAATCTCCCTTTTGCTGATTTTCTTCAATGCTCGAGACCTGGAGCAATTCATGTCGCATTCGCCGTGATACATTGTTACTCATCCTACTTTGTGTCCTCTTAAGGCAAACTGGTAAGGCGCAGATGTTGGCTCTTTTTTTTTTTTTTTTTAACAATTATGTGTGTCTCATAGTATTCTGCAAAGAGGTTTTCAAATAATTCTACCGTGGCGAGTGGCCATTTAATGAAAGGTTGCAGCACGGGAATAAAACATAAGAATCTGTGGCCGGCGTAGCACCTGCCCTTACGACACAGCACAGATTGCTCTTCTCAGACCTGAGTTTTGTGTCCTGCAGGAATGTCTGCTTCTCCACTGAAGGTGCTCTGCACCCCGGAAGGAATAAGACTCCAGTGTTTCATGAAGTACTTTGCGGAAGAAATGAAGGTGAACTGGTATCACAAGTAAGTGTGCGTGCAGCCAACGGCGGCCGCCCCCTGGGCGGGGCAGTCCCGGGCAGGGACGCCGAGCTGCAGAGGACCATCAGGGCCCTGCCATTCCCTCGAACCGACGTGATTCTGAGCAATCGTGACCACCTCTGGCTCAGGGCGGGGAGCCATCGTGGCAGTGGGGAGGACTTGGAAGAAGGAGAAAGAGAAAGAAATGCCTGAAGGTGTTAGAGACAAATTTCTCCAGTGTCCCGAGTTTACCAAGGGTGGCTCTGCTCATAAAGCACCTTTTACCTGCCACCAGGAGGGAGCCAAGGTGGAAATGATACTTCTAAACCGGGCTCTACGTGTCTGGTCTGTCCATTGCCCTCTGGACTCGATTAAAAGTAAAAGGACCAAAACAACCCAATCATTAAAACTAATGATTCTTATTTCTTATTTTTTGTCTAAAAGTATGTAACTTTTGGTCCTA